CCTGTACTGTAACCCTGACAAGTTACTTTACATTTCAGAAACTCAGTGGCCACATCTCCAATATAAACCATCTCTACCTTGTAATATTGTTTAAAATTAAATAAGAGATTATAGGAAATTGCTAGATAAATTTTCTACATGAATCCAACCTTTAGAAACATCATACCACCTTTTCATGAATAATGTTGATTCTTCTCCCACTATACTTCAAAACTTTGCTTTTCTTGTTTATCAGCCACACACTACATATGTTTGCCGTCATGTACGACCACACAAGTATATGATCAAAAAATCAGCCAACTCTTTGCTAAATAGCAAGGATACTGTATTCATTAAGGATAAGAAATCATGCAGGCAGTGTCCAACTCAGGAACATATCGAAAGGCTTTAAGCATTGAGTGACTCTTGAAAGTCAACTGCTACAGGTGCCCCAAGCCCTTCCCACTATAGACCTAGTGTTGTACAAACATTTTAGCCATGATAATGTACAAATCATTCCTAACTAGGAAAGGAATTACACCTCTAGCATACCACTTATCTGGAGAGATCAAAGGTAAGAAAGAAAAAAAAGGCTATACAGTATATATCAGTGTCATTTCAACACTAGACTGTGAAGAAATACAGGACATTGAATTTTCTTTAAGTGTAAAAAAGCATTGATTAAAAAGGGGAAGCTAATAAAAATCTGTGCAGGATGTGAGCCAGTGCTCTGACACGTACAGAGATCAGTAGGTGACTCAAAGCCAAGAACACAGGAAGAAGCACTCAGACAGACCAAGCATTGCTCAGAGTACATTTACCACCACCCTAATGGATTGCAATAGAAAAAAAAAAAACAGTTCGAACTATCAAAACTTCACTACAGAGAATGTAACTGTGCTACAGGTGAATATATATCTTCTCCCATCAATTAGATTGAATTTTTCTCAAAGTTGATTCCAATTTCTGTTAATGAGTATCAAGTAAATTGTTTTTTTTTATTGTGAAAATACCACACAGAGGAGTTACAATTACATGGGCAAGATAATGAGTACATTTCTTATCAAGCATTGTTGCCTCCTCCTTTGTTTCCCCTTCCCATCCCTAAACTGTTTTAATACTAAACATTTGCAGAGAAACAGTCCCCATGACAGCAGGTGCACAGAACAGACTCTAATCCTATTTGAGGGCACCACCTCTTACAAATACATTGTGGCTAGGACAACTTTCAGGCCTTTTACTACAAGATGGAGTTTAAAACACTTATGTAAAATAGTTCTCTTTATTTATGGACTCCTACTCGCAGGCAGTCCCAGAGCAGAACAGACACCAGGGCTCTACTGATTTAGTAGGAAAAGATTATCTTGTTGTTTCCATGCTGATCAAAGCCAAACTGTCTGCTGTTGCTTGTCATCTATTCATAAACCTACCTCAATATCCAAATCCTCATTTTCCTTTACATACTTACAGTTTCTTAATTGGATATTGTTTTCCTAACTTCATCTTAACAAGAAAATCATTCACATGATGAGAACAGTTGCATCAGTTTAATTTTTTAAAAACCCATAAATAAGGACAGACTTACTCATAATGGAATCCTTGACAAAAAGATAACTCTACAGCTATCACTATTCTACCACTACAAAACACCTCTGGTCTCCTCCTTAGAGTAAGAAAACCCAGACATTTATCTGGATCTAAAACTGCCTCTGCCTGAGAAACTATGAACATCCAAGACAAGGGAGGAAATGCTGCAGACAATGGCAGAAGCGACACAGTCCACAAACACTCAACTTCATACCACACCCACTGGTGGAATCTGTTACACAGTAAACACACATTGATGTTAGCACCATTATTTATTACAGATAAAAGAGCTCAGGCATCTGTCTGAAAAGTCAGCTCAGCTCCAAATGTGATACACATGAAAGTAGGAGCCAGAAACTAGACAGGAAAGCCTTTTGCTTCCAAAAATGTATTCTGATATAGCCTGAGAACAGCATCTTTGATTGGCAGTAATTTCAGATAGACTTTGAGGTAGGAAGACAGTAAGTAAAACCCAGGGACTTCTGGAAATCCTTATATTTCTTTTTGAATCATATCTACTCATGAAACTTTGGCTTAGTCTTGTAACTGGAAAGGAAAGCCTGACTACAGGGTAAGCAATATTTAATGTCTGAAGTAAAATAATAGAGAAAATAATTATGAAGAATAAGGAAAAGGAATGTAGCTTGTATAATTAAGAAGTTCTTTATTTTCAACCCAGCCAGTGAAGGTGAAGCTGAAGCTGCTCTAATTCTAAGAACCTCTAGAAATATTTCATCCTCCCTTTTCTCCTTCCATGGTATTGCTTAACTCATTCAATCAGCCATGTGCCTATTTCTCTCCAGTTTGTCTAATAATGCTCACAGCCTAGGCACTGACCATAGGAATACTTGGGTCTCCCCTGCTTTATTCTCTGCTGTCTATTGACCATATTAATATCCCTCCATATCACCTGAAGTCAGGTCTCTACCTGGTGGTTCATTACAATTATCCTAACAGAGGCTGATGTAGGAAGATCTTAAGACCAGTATAAAGTAAAAACCATGTCAAAACCAAAAGGAAAAAAAAAAACAACTCTTATAAACCCAGTATCTTGGCAATTTAGTGAATTAAATACTTTCTCAAGAATTTCTAAGCCATGTATACTCATGCTTGTAATTACTTTTTTGAATAAGTTTTTTATTGTGAACATACTGTACAGAGGGGTTACAGTTACACGAGCAAGGTAATGAGTACATTTCTTATCAAGCATAAAGCATAAAGAAAATAGTTCCCCGCATTCTCACCAAGCGAATAACTGATGAAAGTCAAACATGCAGAATCTCATTTAGTTTTCAGGTGAAAAAGATCAAACCGTGTAAGAGGCAAAATATCATTCTTCTAGGCTTCATACTTCACTGCCAACAATACCCCCTCTGATTTGATTACTGTTCTTAGTAAACCACAGCACGCACTCTGCCCATCCGAGCATACCCAGGGAGGATGGCGTTGCTCAATTCAGCTCCTCCCTATGTAAAAAGACTGAAGCTTGTTCCCAACTGCACCTCCAGTTATACATTTACTCACTGTATGTTTTACTTTTTTAAATGTTCACAAATTTGGAAATAATAGATGAACTGGTGGGTTTAAAAAAAAATAACATTAAGGAACTGATGCTGTGGCTAAGTGGTAAAGCACTCGCCGTGAGCTGATGAGCACACGGACAGCGCCCAAGCCCAGAGTTCAAGACACACAACCGACAAAAAAATAAATGAATAACATTAAAGCATGTATAATAAACGGTTATCAGATATATTCCACCTCTATTTTGTTTTCTACAGGCAACTACTATCATACTTTCTTATGTAGCTCTCTTGATATTTACACAAATAGATTTTCTGAATTATCTATGGGTAGGGTATAAAAGAGAAATGTCTTTTTTTAAAACTGGCTTTTACACTCAACAGTATATCTGGAAGACCTTTACGGATAATATAACTTTACACATGTTTGTGGTGTTTTCCTGTTATTTTGTTTGTTTGAGACAAGGTTATGCTACATTGTCCCATGTAGCCTAAAACTCATGTTCTTCCTGCTTCTGCCTCCCGAGTGCTGGCATAACAGGTATTCATCACAACTTGTTTGCTTGTGAGCCTATCTATAAAACAAAGGGCTTGAATCATATTGGCTGAACCAAAGAAAAAACACCTTTGCAATATATATATCCTCAGTATAGGTTCTCAAGCAAGATGAAATGGTTTAGGCTAAGAATGAGAAGTAAGATGTGAAAATAATCTGTGTGTCTTGAAGGAGTGGGCTATCACTGAAGAATGTTTCTAAGAACTTAAATACATTTAAGGCCAGCATGTTTAAAAAGTTTCCCAAGGTCACAGCTCTGCAGGATAATTCCCATTTCGATGTAGACATTATGGTATGTTTGCCTTCAAAGGTTGATTATTTTATGGCTACAACTCATAAAGCCTATGGTCATAAAACACCTCACTCTCTCTCTTGGGGGCTGACCACACTTACTGTGTAAATAATGGTATCAGATTCTCAATTAGCTAAGACCACTTCTTAGTGACAGGGCTCGACTCCACTCTGTGCCCAAGGAGCTAGGAATATTTCAAGTCCCACATAAAAGATGTGACTTAAAGCTAAACTAGAGAAGTAAAAGAGGAAATAAAGTTTCCGAAAAAACAAAATTGTTATATGATTAATAATCATCATAATGTAAAAATATTTTAAAAGTGGAAAGAATAAGCATAACATTTCTTCATTTTCATTTGTTTCAAAGGATTCTAAAGTAGAGGCGGGGGGGGGAGGGGGGGGGGGGCTATGAAAAACTCTATCTTGATTTCCCATCTGCTGCCTGACAGAATGGCCACACCCTGGCTGCTCATTCTCCAAGAACTCTGTTTTTAACACAATTCAGTTGCAACTGATTTAACTGTCCTCTCGTCATTTTCTAGTGGCAATAAGATGTTTGCTTTTTTGAGACTCCTACAACTTTGTATTCTGTACTTAGATTTTTGTCTTTCCATCATCTTTTAATTCCTTAATCCCCCCAAATGAGGGAATATGGTTTCCTGGGCAAAAACCAGGATTTAAATCAGACAGAGATAGCTTCACATCTTGTCTCTTAGTCATGACCTCAGGGGGAAAAAATTATCCTTCTCAAGCTTTTACTAAATTAAAAATATTTTCACTGTTTGAGTTGTTCTAAATTATATAAGTAATATAGGCTCATTAAAAAATTAAATGGATTATACAATGCAAGTGTTTCTCAATTTGGTGCATTTATGAATGCATATGATACATATTTATTTTATGATGAAAATGAATATAATACTTATTGTTCCACAGTTTGCTATATTTTTCCCTACAGTCATTCCCAGGTGAATAACTATTTAGCCTCTTCTTACACATTTATCTATAGTGTCCAGAAACTATGCAATTGTAGAAGTAGAGCTCACTGTCATTGTTGCTGATTCTTCTTCATTTGGTTCTTCAGTCTACTTCACTCTATGTGGATCCATTCTTCTCAGGTCTGTCCTCTAGAATGACACAGGTAAATCTATTCACGTTGTCAAATAACAGCCTTTTGAAATGTCATAGGTATTCACATTCCTCTGACTCTATTCTTCTCCAAGCTAAGTAAGCCTCTGTTCTTCTTCTTTTTTTAAAACCTATTTTCTCATTGCTGCCATTCCAGCAGCAGCACCCACCCTTTCTGGCTCTCTCAGCTTCATCGTTGGCTTCTCCACCCATCACCCCTCAGTGCAAATCTGCTGTCACTTCTCCCATAAGTTTGGCTATAAAATATGATACACTTTTGGAACAACCTTTACCACCCAACCTCCACCTCTGCCTTCATCAACCCCATAGAAGAGTAGCTTAAACCTATCTCTAGTAACTTGAGATTTGTTAACTTGCATGTGATCGATACATTTAAAGTGCATTGTTTCAATCTTTAAAACATTTCAAAAGCTTCCTAAGAAATTGAGGTGTGTTATGAAGTAAAAAACAGCACCATAAACATAAAAAGATAATAGTTATATTGTCAAAGCTCACAGAATTCACAAACATTATAGACATGATAATAACAATTTGCCTTGTGAAGGTTAAAATGTGTTTGTGACTTTAAGTATCACTATCTCACAATACTGTGAAATTTATATAATCACTTAATCTCAATAAAAATTATTTTAAAAGCATAAAAAGATGTTTGTTGTCTGCATCCAGCTTTACTTTTAAACATGTATATATATATAGCAGACTTGTTAAAATCATTATTACCAAATTAGCATACATATGTTAAATCCTAGTAACTTAATAACAGCACTGCTTCTCCAAGGTTTAGTTCTTTCATCTCTAACAAGAGAATAATAGTAGCTGTGAGTGGGATTGTTAGGAAGATTGTGTGAGTTACTAGCAAAACATATAAAATGTCTAAGTTGGAATTTGGTACTAAGAAGGAACTATGTGTCAGTGGTAGTGATATACTAAAATGTAGATCAAATGTTATTGAGCGCTCACAATAACCTAAGTTTTATTGTTCATGTTTCAGGTATAGTTTTTTCATAAAGGTTCAGAGTCGATGCCCAAGAGCTTGGTGGTGTGGTGTTGACAGTGGTGAAAGTAATGACAATGATTCAGGGGGAAATCAATACCGAAAGGTCACATGACAATGTGTCATTATGAGGTGATTTTTATTTTCTTCATTTTGTAAGTAAATCCTTTTAGGGTGTCTTTTTAATATTTGGGCATTTAAAATAATAATAAGGATATTGTTTATAAAGCTAGTAATTGAGAGATAAAATTCCAGTCTGGCTCTCCCACAGCCTTGCTCTATGTACTTGGGCAAACCCCTTTTTGTCTTCTGTGTTTCAGTAACCTGTAAAATAAGAAGGGGAAGGGGTAAGTCCTAACAATAGTGATAGTATACCACTTACTCCCAGAGCCCGGACACTTTACAAAGCACTCTTTACACAGTGGCTCATTAGGAAACACAGTATTTCCCATGTCCTCAGCTGACCTGAGTCACCGGTACAGCTGACCAGCCTGCTGCAGAATATAACCACCTACTCTGGCCCTGGCCTTTGTTTAACAGAAAGCTTCAAAGTCTTCCACAGCTCATGAGGGTAGCTTTATGCATCCCCCAGGTTCTGACTTGCTTTCTGGAAAACAGTTCGAACTCCCAAGTGATCTTAATAATTGGGAGGGGGGAAAAAAAGGCAAGCAAGGGAAAATATAAAGGCATTCATATTTATGGACTATCTAAAATATAAATCATTATAACTAAATCTCCTTGAGTCCTCTCAACAGCTTACATTTGATTGCCTGGATTTTTGAAGTGATTTTCTCATAGAGGTTTAAAGTTAGTGTTCAAGATCACATAGTTACTAACTTTAGACCAGAATTGGAATGAAAGCTCAGAGCTCAAGTTGCGTCACTGAGATTTGAGATCCACTAAGGCTGGATGGTTTGTTGGCTATTGTTTCAACTTTGACACTACATTTCAAGGATTCTGAGTTTTGACTGATAAACGTTACTAAAGACACAATGTGGTGAGGGAAATTTTATTACTAGCCACTAGCCTATCGATGGTAGTATTTTTTCTATTATGATTGATAAACTGACACATCATGAAAGCTTTAATCTAAAAACAACACTGTATTTCAAAGGCATCCTGAAATGGCCCAAGTCTACCTAGTAAGTGACTGAAATCACTGTTGAGCAGTGATAATTCTTCAGTACACAGAGAACAAGCACATCTGACAGGCCGTAGTTGTTCCGTGCATTAAATTTTGGCAGCAACTAAGTGCTTGACTCTTTTTTTTCTCCTGTTTCTTCCTTATTTCCTTTCCACCAGCACACTTCTGTGTGGATTATAGCCCTACAGACATGTGAGAGTGAAGTCAGCATAATATTCATTGCTTAAAAAGTCCTGATCCAATCAACCGAAATGAGAGACCAATAAAACTGTGATCTTGAAATCCAGGAGACTTTATTATGTTTGGACAACTCCATTAAATTAGAATACTTGGCCTTGAATAAGCAAAATCATAAATATATATTAAATTACATCTCCATTATCTTCATTGCCATCTTAATAGATGTTAACTATATGTGGCACGGCATATAATCTATTACTACACTTGGGACTTGGAATAATTTTATGACATAGGTGCAGTTACTGTACCCATTTTTCGATGAGGAAATTGAATCACAGAAATATTATATAACTTTCCCAGTATCACAGAAAAAAATGATAGCATAATAATTCATATCCCAGTGGCCTAACTCCAGCATCAACACTTTCTCAAGTAAGTTTCTGATTGCCTCTAGAAAAATGATCATATAGACTAGTATGTACCACTGAACAAGAATTGTTTAATCCTTTCCACAGGATTTTCCAATCCATTTAAACAATCTGATATCAAGCAACTGGGATTGCTCTAAATTAATGAATATATGATGAGTCTACTTAAGGAATTAAGTTTCACTCTTATATTACTTGTACTGCTAGTCTCTATGAGATTTAAAGGAAAGGGAAGTGGAAAACTCTTGGCATATGCCTATGAAACAACTATCACTATTTGTTTCAATGAATACCTTCCTTTCTCTTAACTAGTTTTTTATCCTTCCAGAAACTTCCTGGACTAAAGAACCAGTAAAGAATAGTATATGTCTGAGTCAAGCAGAAAAGGTCAGATAAGTTGATATTAGGGAAATGACCCCTAAGATATGTATTCAAATGTATTTTTCTTTCATGCAATTGTTTCTAACACATTTATAAGATGATTTCTTTGTTGCTTTGTATGTCCCTCCCCCATGGTATAACCCCTGCTTTCACTGTATTTGCTGTCTGTATAATTTGTGGAAGGAAAGGGAAAAAAACAAACTGTTTAAATAGGGGTACAGGTGGACCCATTGCAACAATGAGATGTACAAGTCTTTATGTTGAAAATGAACTTTACAACTTTGGTGGGGGGGGAGGAGGATTGGGAGGGGAGAAGTCGGGGGAGGATGGGAAGGGATGGGAAGGGGAAACAAAGGAGGAGGCTACAATGCTTGATAAGAAATGTACTCGTTATCTTGCCCATGTAATTGTAACCCCTCTGTACAGTATTATCACAATAAAAAAAGGAATGAGAACAGAAAGACAGATGTCTTGTTGCCTCGTAACTTGTTGATACCTCTGAGATTTTCTTTTTTTAAACTAAGTGACAATCATTGAGGTAGTTTTTTCTTCATGGCAATCATTTTTGAGTGTTTGTCTTCCTATTGAGGTGGAGTGAGGCAATAAACACATTATAATATGAAAATAATCTCTCTGTCTCTGTCTCTGTATTTCTGTCTCTTTCTCTGTCTCTCCACTTTTAGTGCAGCTCAACTGTGTCAGGGATAACCCGCTACTAGAGAGGCACAAGAAGGTCTGAAGAGGCCCTGTTCTAGAAGTCAGATGGGGATCCAAGCCCTCCTCTCCTGTAGCCTCAGGCAAGCTCGTTGGGTATTGGAATTCCAGGGGTTCTCACTGTTTTAAGACTTCACAGATGGTGGAGATGTGGTCACACAGAGGCCACCCCTACTATGACTACTACACTCTGGAGTTTCTGTCAAATACTACTTGTAAATTTATTTCTCAAATGATTGCGTTCGCTGCTAACTAAGGCTGGCCTTGATCCTTGAACCTCTTCCAAGGCCTAAGAGACGTAAAAGTCTGATATCGCCTTGGGTGTGACCCCAAATGGCCTTGTTAATAAACATTCCTTCCTGTTTCCCCACATTGACAAGGGAGAAGGGAAGCAAGGTTGGAGAAGAGCAGCAGAGGCCCTGCCAAGTAGGGACCTCAGCAAGGAAAGCCAAGCTCAATGAACTGAGTCAGTCTCATGTTTTTTCCTATTTTAATGTTTGACTTACTGAGGCAGACCCTTCTCTGGTCTCTTAAGCCTCTAAAGGGGTTGGTGCTTTTTGTTTTATTTTTTTCCTATTTCAATTCTCCTCCCTTGGCTCCATGATTTTAGAGTCTTCCCCTATTTAGAGCAAGGTTATCCTTTTTTTTTTCTTTCTGGGGATCTAACTTGGGGCTTTAGGAAAGCATGCTATGAAAATACTCTACCACTGAGCTGTCTCCCCTGCCCGCCCCCCTCCCCCCACATGCACACACTTTTCTGAGATAAGGAATCACTGTGTTTCCTCTCATTTAATAAATTCTCTGGGAGGAAAAGTTCTCACATCAGAAAAACACTGCTTTGGAGCTGTTCAAATGGCTATTTTAAGGAGTTGTTCATACCATGTAAACACTTCCCTGTGTTTTGGGACTCAAGTAAATTATAAGCAATATGTTATAGCAAATGATATACAGTGAAGGCTTTAGAAATTAACCTTTAGTACTTAGTATCCATGAATCCCTGGGGTTTTTTTTGTGTGTGTGTGGTGGTTGTTTTGTTTTGATTTTTGTTGGTCGTGGGGCTTGAACTCTGGGCCTGGGCATTGTCCCTCAGCTCTTCAGCTAGCCCAAGGCTAGTGCTCTACCACTTGAGCCACAATACCACTTCCAGTTTTCTGGTCATTAATTGGAGATAAGAGCCTCACGGACTTTCCTCCTGGGTTGGCTTTGAACTGCCATCCTCAGATCTCAGCCCCCTGAGTAGCTAGGATTATAGGCGTGAGCCACCCTTAAGTTGTCTCTAACAAGTATTTGGTCTACTTCATTTAATATAATTTTTTCCAAGTCTTTCCATTTCCTAATAAATAACTAGTATTTGTCTAGAACAAGCAGAAAACCTCAAAAGCTATGTACATATGACCAGATAAGATGATGGTAAGCAAAATGAATCCCAAGATAGAAATACAAGTAGTTTTATCTTTCTTGCTGCTGTTTTTAATGAATTTATAATGTACCATGTACGTTTTTTGTTTCTTTTGTATGTTCTTCCCCCATGGTATAAACCGTTTTCACTGTGTTTGATTCCTGTGCCTGGAATCTTGTATATACATTTTTCTAATTTGGGGAGGGGAAGGGAAATAACAAAATGCTGAAATAAGGTTACATTGTAACAAAAATATGTAGAAGACACTATGTTGAAAACAAACTTTACAACTACTGGAGGTGGGGAGGGAGAAGTTGGGGAGGTGGGGCCAGAAGGGATGGTAGGGAAAAAACAAAGGAGGAGGTAACAACGCTCAATAGGAAATGTATTCATTACCTTATTCATGTAACTGTAACCCCTCTGCACAGTATTTTTACAATAAAAAATATATATAAAAAACAGGTATTTGGTCACAGTGACACAAACAAAGCTGATTCTCTCATTGTTTTAAGAAAATTTTATTTGTATATCCTCTTAGTGCTCCTAGCTCCTATTTGGTCCTCTCCCTATAGTTCAGCAAGATTAATTTTAACTGAAGTATCTCTTCCATATTTGGTTACATCTTCATGCATACCTAATGGACATTTTATCTTTTTTAGGCAGGATATTCAGGAAGAGTTAGCTTTGGCAATGGGTTTAATCTGGACAGTTAGAATAGGCTCCAGTTACAGCACTCCAGGAAGTTTTTGCTATCATTAGAATAATACCCTAACCTTTTCTATGACCAGAGTACTATATGACGTTTCCTCTGCCTATTTCTCCAGGATCCCCTCAGCCTCTGTGATCCTTCACTGGCTTTTTCTCTGTCCCCATAAAAGGCAAAAGTCATCTTCATTTCCTTGTATTTGCTATTGCTTCTTTCTTCATTTCACTTAATGCCCTCCTTCTCAATTAGTTCTCAGTCAAATGTCACCTCCCTAGAGATGCCTCAAGCAAAGTTGTAGACCTTTTATGTTCTGTTCTCTCCCCAGAAGTTTTATTTCTACATGGATGCTTTTACATGATTTTTTAAATTTATCAGTATACATGTTGCACTCCATGAGAGGAAAGGTATTAGGCCTTTACAGAACAGTGTAAATTATACTTTACAGAACAGTGTTTGGCACATAAGAGTCACTCATTAATAGATATTGAAGAAATCATCCTGGCTCAGCTTCTCACCCACTTCAAGCTCTTTTACTTATCATGAGTTCTAACAGCCTTGAGTTTCATTACATATTGAATAAACTACACTGAATTATTAATTACTATGATATCCTCCAACAATGTCAGAAGTGTAAGAAATTGATAATACCCAAAGTCATTTGATTCAATTATGGAAAGACCAAAGAGCTTAGAGAATGTTGATATGCACTCTAAGTCCTTGGATAGCTTTTCTCAAACTTTTCCAACAAGACAGAATTAACAGCTGAAAACTGAGTAGTAATGCTCAGTAGGGAATTTAACAGGAATATAAAGTAGCTCCTGAGAATGAAATATCTTTAAAGTCCTACAATTTATTTTCTAAATTCAGATGAATTTTGCATACTAATCCATTGTTGAATTAATAAAAAAGAAATAAAGGAGAAGGCTACAATGCTTGATAAGAAATGTACTCATTATCTTGCCCATGTAATTGTAACCCCTCTGTACAGTATTTTCACAATAAAAAATAAAAAGTTATAAAAATGAAATTTGCCCTCAAATAGTTGAAGAAATAAATGTGCCTTCCAAGAAGATGCACCCTGTTTACTTTGGAAAAGGATCAAGAATCCCCCAGTACGTGTGATCCAAGCTGATCTTCATTTAGAAATGATCTGGAAGAATCTTAAAAGGATCCCAGCTCCTTCATTTGCACTTACTGCACGCCCCACCCCCCCACCCCCCTACCCTCACCCCTTCCAGCCCAGGGAAGAAATGCTGTGGAACAAGACAATATAGAGTAAGCTAGGAATAAAAAGGTATGTGAATGTTTGAGGAGCTAAAAAAAACCAGCTAATTTTTTTATTTTATTTTATTATAATGATGCTGTATTGAGGGTTACAGTTACATGAGTAAGGTAATGAGTACATTTCTTGTCAAACATTCTTACCACTTCCTTTGTTTTTCTCCTACTATCCCTTCCCTCCTCTACCTCCCTCACTCCCCTCCCAAAAGTTGTAAATTTCATTTCCAACATATGTCTTGTGAGTATCATTGTTGCAATGGGTCATCCTGTGTCCTTGTTTCAACATTTTGTCATTCCCTTTCCCCTCCCCAAATTAGATAAATGTATATATAAGATGCAGGGTACCAAAATCAAATACAGTGACAACAGGGGATACACCATAGGGGGAAGAACATACAAAAGAAACAAAAAAATTACATAGTACATTAAAAACAACAACAAAGAAAAATCCCTTGTGTCCATATCTTTGAGTTCATTTCGCTTAGTATCATCTTATACGGTCATATGTACATAGCTTCTGAACTTTTCTGCTCATCTGATAAGATTATCCTAGACATATACTAATTATTGCAAATAAGGAAACCATAGTAGCTTAAAAATTTTTTCTCTCTATATCACTGTCATCTCAGATCTTTCTTCTCTTCTCTTCCTCTTCTTCTTCCTCCTCATCTTACACCACCTATTGTGGTTTTTTTGCTTTTGGGTTTTTTTTTCTTTTATTAGAGATTGCTAAATATTGCCAGTGCCAACTATATTGCAAGTCGTCAAGGTGGGCTATTGGGAAAAGTTTTCAATTAGCAATAATTGAGCCTCAGGCAAACCTCATTGGCTATGATACTGACACTGCGTAAATTCTCTCTGTTTTTGAGACAGAGTTTTGCTATGTAGCACAAGTTGATCTCAGCCTCCCTAGTACTGGAATTACAGTCATGTACCACCACATCTAGCTTCAGACCTCTCTTTAAATTATTTCACTTCTCTCTTTCTTCCCAAGTGCTTGATGAGGTTAAAAGTGTAAGTTCTTCTCACTTCCAAGAGAAGAAGACCCTACAGTGACCAGACAAGCCAGTCTACCCAGGATCATCCTAATTTGCATAAAACGATGTAATTGTTCATAGAATTCTCTTTTCATTTGTACAATCTATGGTCATTCTTAAGGAAATCTTCCCCACACCACTCAAAAAAAAACTAGGAACCAAACTGAATGAGTCAGAGGCAAAGTGACACAACTCTTCAGCCTAACTTTAAACTGCCAGAGAAACAGAAGCCTATGAGAGAGAACAATTGTCCAATTCATCCACTAAAACAAAATAATAAAAAAGCAGATCACAAAAGCATTTGGGTCCAAACTTCAGTGATTCTGAATAAGGTTTCCTGTGTCTGATATATTTGTACACTTCAGTTGTTATAACCACTCCCTACATATAACCACTTACACTGCTTTCTTAGGATTGGAAGCACAAAATCCAGGCCATCTTGAGTACATTATATTAGTGGTTACAGTGAAAAGATACAAAGGCAACCAGGAGGTTAAGAGTAAATTAGTCTAACAAAATACTATCAGGGAAATTGATAAAGTATTTTTAAATCAAATATGGTATGTGGATGCAGAATAAATTCTGAATAATAATTAGCCCTTCCAGTAACCTGACATTTGAAGGCATGAAAGTGAAGATCATTATCTACTGGACAAACCAAAAGGAGTGTTTGCTCTGATAGTAATTATGGTAACCACTGTAGGGAATGTAATGGACTGAGAGTCTGAGTTGCTGCCTAAAAACCTACCAATGTTTCCTCTTAGGCCAGGCTTTCCATGGTTGCTTCCAGCCAATGACTAAGCACAGCAGTGAAACTGAGGCAAGCCCATTTCTGGGAGATACAGAACCCTCCTGATAGGCTCCTTTGTCTTAAGGATTTCCAACCAGCCTTGCCAAATTTTTTCTTGAAGTTGAAGTCTGAAGGCCTTCTCTCGAAACTTCTGTCTCTCTCCCATATGCCATGAGATAAGCAGCATTGAGTTTACCATGTCCTCTTCCCCGTGTGTGAGTCTATGGGCCATGCCACAGGCGCATAGTAATAAGGCCAGCTGACCACACACTGAAATCTTTGGATCTGTCATCCAAAATAAATTTCTCCTTTTAAATTGTTTCTCTCAGGCATTTGTCACAGAGGTGAAAAACCGACTAGCACAGAAAATTGGAACTGAGAACGGGGTCAATGATGCAACTATCTGATCATGTGGTTCAGAAGTCTTTGGAATGTGTTTATGAGAAGAATTTGAAAGACTTTGGAAATGAACTAGAGAAAGTCTGGAATGCTGTATGAGCAGTTCTGGTTGGAACACAGAAGGGTGAATGCCGATAGAAGTATGAACAATATAGTCCGTACTCGTGATATTTTTGGATGAGTATAAGGACTCTGTTGAGAACTGGACTAGAAGTCATACATATTACATTGTGGCAAATAACCTGTCTACGTTTTTTTTCCATGTCCTGAGTGGGAATCACAGTTTTAAGATGATGGTCTACTTAATCTGCCAGAAGAAATTTCAAGGCAGCAGCATGCAGGATGTTATATAAGTACTGCTAGCTGCTTTTCTCCAAATTTACGGTGAGAATTGAAAGACCAAAAGAAGAACAAGGCAGTTTGAAAGAAATTGAAGTTTGAGTATTGGGGCTAGGGAAAGCATGGTTTCTAAAAATATTTGTGGCATTAAAAAAGAAGCCCATCCTTTGCACAAGAGCAATAGGACAGAGTCATGAGGGCTTCTAAGAAACCAACAATATCCCATCCATTAACATGTGCTAGAGTGTAAAAGTATAAACACCATTAAAAGGCTTCTCTTGGGAAAAGAGTGCCACTTCTGTGACACACCTAGCTCACAGGAAGTAAAGTAGGGAACTTGTTTCTCAGTATTCACTTCACTGTGTTCAACCATCAGGGCACACTGCAGCCTTGGGTCTAGAGGGCCTAGAAATTGTTCCTTGGAAGCATCACAGCATGCCACTATGTATGATTCTACAATACAAACTATAGAATTTTTTAAAGATTCCCCTGATACCACTTAATTCAATTATTTACTTGTAGATGAAAAGGTCAGTACACAGAAATCAGTTCATTTCTTGTGGGTCAACACTGGATTTGTGGAAGCTAAGATGGAAGCTGTAGAAAGTGCCCTACTATTTGCTACTAACCAGATGAAATAGAAGGTAGGAAGGAGAAAGGAGGTAGGAAGTAGAAAAGAGTAGAATCACAGAAACAGTGGACAAAGGGTGAACCTTAGTATCTAGTGATACTCACTAGACACTATGTTGGAAATGAACTTTACAACTTGGGGGGGGGGGAGATGAGTTGGGGGAGGAAGTGAGAGAAAATGAGGGAGGGGTTAACACTGTTCAAAAAGAAATGTCCTCATTACCTTGCTTATGTAACTGTAAATCATTTTTACAATTAAAAAAAATGGAAAATAAGTGAGATCAGGTAGGAGAGATCCAGAGATCCATTCAGAGGAACACAGCAGCTGTAATTCACTGAAACTAACCAATGCCACACAGACCTTTCTGGAGCGATTTTTGTTTGAGTTTGGTTTTTCATTGTTTTGTTTGTTTGTTGTTTTTGATGCTCGGTACTGGTGCAGGAATTCAGGGCTTTGCACTCTTTCTTTTGATTCAAGTTGGTGTTCTACCACTTGACGTACAGCTCCACTTCCACTTCCACATTTTGACTGGTTAAATGGAGATAATAGTCTCATGAGCTTTCTTGCCCAGGCTGGCATTGATCCTCAATCCTTAGATCTCACCCTCCTGAGTAGTTAGGATTACAAGCATAAGCCATCAGTAGCTAGCTGAAGTAATGTTTTTCAATGAACTCTCCTTGGGAGCCAAATTCTTGGGATGACCTGGCTAATACTTAATAATCTCAGGCAACACTCCACCCTCATCTCCATCACCTATACCTGGTGAGCATACAATATTTCACTTGATCTTACTTACAAAGCTTGTTGTTGAATCATGTTTATCCCTAGATACTCATCAATCTTAAGCTGAGTTTATACTTACTCCTTCCATAAGTACTCACAGAAAAGCTGTCAAGGACAAAGGTTCTGTAGTAACTGTTAGAAAATTGGTAAAAAGCACTTAAGCAAATTCTTCCATGTCTATCTAGAAGAATCAATGATTTCTTCTAGAGAAAAATAGGTCAACCAAAGTAACTCTACACAGACTAATCACTACAACCTTTATATCACAAGGACAATTAAATAAAGAACCTTTGCTTTGGAGCCTTATCACCTTGGTCCAGCTGATAGGGAAAGTGGATCTTATGGCTGAACTCTTGAACCAGGAAAGGACCAGTACAAAGTTTTTGTCAGGTGACGTGACCTACAAAAGTATTTCTATTCCTTGGCTTATCTTTATGACTGATGAATGATTGCTTCTTATTTGCTCTATCTGCTTGCAAACTGTGGCTAAATTGCTGAGGCTGTTGCAACCAAGTGGTCTACTCCTGAAAGAGGGGAAAAAGGAGAAAGATGAATCTCTTCAATACAGGTGTAAGAAAAAGAAATTTATTCTACCAAATCTCCCTAGCCATAAAAGAAATACAAATCAAAACAACATTGAGACACCACATCACTCCAGTTAGAATGGCTATAGTCAAGAACTCTAATAACAACAGATGCTGGAGGGGATGTGGACAGAAGGGAACCCTACTGCATTGTTGGTGGGAATGTAAACTTGTTCAACCACTTTGGAAAGCAGTATGGAGGTTCCTCAAAAGACTCCACATAGAGCTCTCCTATGACCCAGCAATCCCGCTTTTGGGCATTTACCCAAATGATCACAAACAAGACCACACTAAAGCTGCCAGCACAACTATGTTTGTTGCAGCATTATTTACCATAGCCAAGATATAGAACCAACCCAGATGCCCCTCAGTAGATGAATGGATCAAGAAAGTGTGGTATATATACACAATGGAATTCTATGCCTCCATCAGAAAGAATGGCATTACCCCATTTGTTAGGAAATGGAAAGACTTGGAAAAAATTATATTAAGTGAAATAAGACAGGCCCAAAAAAACATAGGTCCCATGGTTTCCCTTATTTGCAATAACTAGTATATGTCTGATACAAGCAGAAATGGTCAGATAAGTTGATGTTAGGCGAAATGAACCCCAAGATAAGGACTCAAATGTTTCTTTTCTTTCTTGCTATTGTTTCTAACATATTTATAAGATGATTTCTATATTGTTTTGTATGTCCCTCGCCCACGGTATAACCCCTGTTTTCACTGTATTTGATATTGGTATAACTTGGGAAAGGGAAGAGAAAAAACATATGGTTTAAATAGGGATACAGGTGGACCCATTACAACATTGATATGTACAAGACGTTACGTCGAAAAATGAACTTTACAACTTTGGCGCGGGGGATGGGGGGGCCATGGAGAGGGGATGGACGGGAGGGAGGAGGGGAGGGGTGGGAAATGGGAAGGGATGGTAAGAGCAAACAAAGGAAGAGGCAACAGTGCTTGATAAGAAATGTACTCATTTTCTTGCCCATGTAATTGTAACCCCTCTGTATGATATTTTCACAATAAAAAATAATAAAAAAAAAATAGTATCTTGCTGGGCACCAGTGGCTCACACCTGTAATCCTAGCTACTCAGGAGGCTGAGATCTGAGGATTGCAGTTCAAAACCAGCCTGGGCAGGAAAGCTGTAAGACTCTTACCTCCAATAAACTACTCAGAAAACCAGAAGTGGTGCTGTGGCTCAAGTGGTAGAGCCCTAGCCTTGAGCTGAAGAGCTGAGGGACAGCTTCCAGGCCCAGAGTTCAAGCCCCACGACCAGCAACAACAACAACAACAAATCTTGTCTCTTATTCACTCACTGCCACTGCCACTCACTAGATGAAGAAGTTTCATAGCAAATGTTTAATTAAATATAATCAATTTGTGAATTTCTACATCATAAATTACCCCAGCATAGTGCTACTGGCTCAAATCTGTAATCCTAGCTACTCAGGAGGCTGAGATCTGAGGATTGTGATTCAAAGTCAGCCCGGGCAGAAAAGTCCCTGTGAGACTCTCATCTCAATTCATCACTCAAAAATGGGAAGTGGTACTGTGGCTCTGAGTGCTAGTATTGAGCACAAAGAGGCTCAGGGACCAGGCTCAGGCCCTGAGTTCAAGCCCACAACTGACTAAATAAATAAATAAATAAATGTACTCCATTCATTTTGGAGCATAAATGATTTCTCTAAAAGAATAACTGCATGTGCAAAGCCAAGTTTATGCTTCCCTATTTACCTCTTGCTGAAGGGATCCTATGTTTGAAAGCCTACAGCAGAAGAGTAGCCAAGCTTAACTAGATTAAAATCACAGATTCACATAGTAAAAGGCACAGCCAAAAATTATTGAATGTCCAAGTCATGCACATAGACAAATGTTCAATTAAACTCTTCAACTGATTTATCAGCCCAGGCCCAGAGTACAGGCCCCAGGACCGGACCAAAAAAAAAAAACAATATACCTAAAGAAAATAGTGAACAAAATGCCAATTTCTATAGCCCACCAAGAGGGAGAGTGATTTATTCAAAATATAACATCAGAATAGAGTAAAATTACTTTTCAGAGATTGATTCTTTATTAAAGAAAGCAAGGTAGGCAACTAATAAATAATAGAAATGCATCAAAGTCACAACATTTTCAATCTCAGAAATTACCTCAGTCGAAGAAAATAATTTGAAAAGACAAAATAGAAAAAGTGGGCACTTGTGATTATCAGTTGGTTTTTTTTTTTGGTTTTTTTTTTTGCTTTAGTTTACTTTCTTATTGATAGCTGCTTTGTTCCTTAGACCTTGAACCAAAAATTTCTTCATTTGAACTATGGAATGCTTTGCCTAATGGCACTCTGTGCTTCCAAGTACATACTGTCCTGGGAAGGAAGTTCACTGTAAAACTAAATGGCATAGTCAACAAATACCTCATATGGAGATTCCTCCTGACTGGGGAAGACCAGCTCATAGCTCCAATCTCTGATCTTTCTGGAAGACAAGAATGATCAGGCATTCCTCTTTGACAAGAAACAGTAAATTTCATGTACAGTTTCAGGGTGTTGGAAGTCAGGGCAGAAGAAAACAGCTTTAATATATCCTCTCTAGGTCCCTAATACGGAAGTAACAATCATCTAGTAGACACAAATGAGCATTGTAATCCCAAGTACAAGGACTTAGGGTGTGGGAAAGGAAGTTCAGCATGGAATTTGAAAGCTAGAATTGCAAGGTAAGAGATCTGAGAGCTTCAAGTGGGGAGGGTTTCCAGCATTTCAGGGGAGTGTGCTTTGTTTGTTTTTCGTCTAGACTGAGAGTGCAAAGGCTTTGGAAATATGCTTTAGGCGAGGAGACACCCTGGGGTTGTTTTCTTTCTCCACTTAGAGCCCTGGGTAATAATGCATGTGCCAGTGCCAACACTCAACGCTGATCAAGTTTGATCACAAGACTACCTTGTTTAAATTTTTAGTGGTTTCTAGTAGACTTCTGGTTTAAATATCATTATTCTAAACAAGTTCTGAAAAGCATCCATTACCATGGCTCAAATCTTGTCTTTGCTACTTACCAACTTGGGAAAGTTTCTTAACATTGTTGATCCTAAAGATCCTCATCTATGAAGTGGGATACTAATAGTTGCTTATATTAGTCCTTTATTGCTAAAACTAGGTGAATTACTGCTTAGCATTGTTTCTTCTTTTGAGTAAACTTTGACTATTATTGCCATTATCATGTCACAAAATTATTATTACTATACAAAAGCATCTCATAACTTAACCTCTTCTCCTCCCATTGTTTGTCTTGTTACTGCCCCATCAATAGTCTATAATCTTGTATATGAAACTCATATTTTATGCGAAGGGATTTTTTTTGTCAATCATGAGCTTAAACTCAGGGCCTGGGCACTGTCACTGAGCTTCTGTGTTCAAGCACTCTACTGTTTTTGAGGTCTACTTCTCATTTTCTTGTGGAAAATTGGAGATAAGAGTCTCATGGACTTTCCTACCCCAGCTGGCTTCAAACTGCAACCTTCAGATCTCCTTCTAAGTACGAAAAAGTATAGATGTGAACCACTAGCACCTGGCTTACATACATTATTCAATCTTTAACAATACTGTAAGGTTAGTACTAATATCCTCATTGTAAAGATAAGGAAACTAGCTGGGCACTGGTGGCTCATGCCTGTAATCCTAACAACTCAGGAAACTGAGATCTGAGGATTGTGTTACAGAGCCAGCCCAGTCAGGAAAGTCCAGTAGACTTTTATCTCCAGTTAACCAGCAAAATGTCAGAAGTGGAAACTGTACCTCAAGTGGTAGAGCATTAATCGGCCTTGAGTGAAAAAGCTTAGGGACAACACCTAAGTCCTAAATTCAGGCCCAGGACTAGCACAATAAATAAATAAATAATAATTAAATAAACAAATAAATAAAAGGTAACATGCTCTAAACAAAAGTGCTGCAACTTTCTCAAAGTAAATTTGCTAGTAAGTGTAGAGCATATAGTTCAAGTCAAAATCTTTCATACTCCATATCTACTTTTTTTGCTATATTATGCCAACTTTATTTGACCTGATTTCCAAGCATTTGTAGAACTTTGGCACTTCTACATTCCCAGGTGGTATCCTTAACCTGGACAGGACTAATTAAGTTCAATACAAGTGAGGTCACAAGATTTCCAAGGGTAGGTCACAAAATATAGCTTCTGTCCAGTACACTGTATTGTAATATTCACTTTTGGAGGTCTACATTGTCATGTAAGGAGTTCTGCTATCTGTCGCTACATGCTTGAGAGACCATGTGAAGAGATTACATAAAGATTGAGAGATACAAAGATACCCAGCTGCTCAGCCATCTTTCAGCCAGGCCCCAGCAAATACTTCATGGCATAGGGAGGATCTGTCTCACCAAACCCTGCCAAATTGTCCCATTCTTAGAATAACCAAGTGATCTGGTTATTTAAGCTAATAAATGTTGGTGGAATTGTTATGCAACAATAATTGCCAAAAAAGCATAATAAATGCAGAAAAGCCAGTGGCTCATGCCTGTAATTCTAGCTACTCAGGAGGCTGAGATCTGAGGATCACTATTCAAAGCCAGCTTGGGCAGGAAAGTCCATGAGACTTTTATCTCCAATTAAGCATCAAAAAAATCCAGAAGTGGAGCTGTAGCTTCAATGATAAAGTGCTACCTTTGAGAGAAGAAAAGGAAGGAAGGAAAGAAGGAAGGAAGGAAGGAGGAGGAAGGAAGGAAGGAAGGAAGGAAGGAAGGAAGGAAGTAGGGAGGGAGGGAGGGAGGGAGGGAGGGAGGGAGGGAGGGAGGGAGGGAGGAGGGAGGAAGAAAGAAAGAAAGAAGGAAGGAAGGAAGGAAGGAAGGAAGGAAGGAAGGAAGGAAGGAAGGAGGAAGGAGAGAGAGAGAGAGAGAGCTGGGACAGCACTCAGGCCCAGAGTTCAAGCCTACAACTGACAAAAAGAAAGAAAGAAAGAAAGAAGGAAGGAAGGAAAGAGAGAGAGAAAGAGAGAGAGAGAGAGCTGGGACAGCACCCAGGCCCAGAGTTCAAGCCCCTACAACTGACAAGAAAGAAAGAAAGAAAGAAAGAAAGAAAGAAAGAAAGAAAGAAAGAAAGAAAGAAAGAAAGAAAGAAAGAGAAGAAAGAAAGAAAGGAAAGAAAGAAGGAAGGAAGGAAGGAAGGAAGGAAAGGAAGGGAGGAAGAGGAGGAAAGGAAGGAAGGGGGAAGGGAGGGAGGAGGAAGGAGGGAGGGGGAGGGAGGGAGGAAAGAAAGAAAAAAAGAAGAAAGAAGGAAGGAAGGAGAGAGAGAGAGAGCTGGACAGCACTCAGAGGCCAGAGTTCAAGCCCTACAACTGACAAAAAAGAAAAGAAGAAAGAAAGAAAGAAAGAAGAAAAGAAAGAAAGAAAGAAAGAAAGAAAAGAAAGAAAGAAAGAAAGAAAAGAAAGAGAAAGAAATAAGAAGAGAAAGAAAGAAAGAAAGAAAGAAGGAAGAAGGAAGGAACGAGAGAGAGAGAGAGAGAGAGTGGGACAGACAGGCAGAGTTCAAGCCCTACAATGACAAAAAGAAAGAAAGAAAGAAGAAGAAAGAAGAAGAAAGAAAGAAAGAAAGAAAGAAAGAAAGAAAGAAAGAAAGAAGAAGAGAAGGAAGAAGGAGAGAGGAGGAAAGAAAGAAAAAGGAAGAAGAAGGAAGGAAGGAGAGAAGAGAGAGAGCTGGAGACAGCACTCAGGCCCAGAGTTCAAGCCCTACAACTGACGAAAGAAAGAAAGAAGAAAGAAAAGAAAGAAAGAAAGAAGAAAGAAAGAAAGAAGAAAGAAGAAAGAAAGAAAGAAAGAGGAAAGAAATGAAAGAGAAAGAAGGAAAGAAGAAGGAAGGAAGGAAGGAAGAGAGAGAGAGGAGGGGACAGCACCGAGGCCAGAGTTCAAGCTACAATGACAAAAAAAAGAAAGAGAGAGAGAGAGAAAGAAGGAAGGAAGGAAGGAAGGAAGGAAAGAGAGAGAGAGAGAGAGTGGGACAGCACCAGGCCAGAGTTAAGCCTACAATTGACAAATAGAAAGAAGAAAGAGAAAGAAAGAAGAAAGAAAGAAAGAAAGAAGAAAGAAAGAAAGAAGAAAGAAAGAAAGAAAGAAGAATGAAAGAAAGAAAGCAAGAAAGAAAGAAAGAAGAGAACGGAAAGGAAGGAAGGAGGAAGAAGAAAAGAAACGAAAGAAAAAAAAGGAAAGGAAAACCCCTGTATGTATTTTACAATAAAAAAAAACTTATTAAAACATTTTTTTAAAGGAAAGAAAAACTGCTCAGGAATAATACAGGCCCTGAGTACAAACCCAGGACCAGCACAAAGGAAAAAATGCTAAAAACAAAACAAAACAAAAAAACTATGGAGATATGCAACATCAATTAATCACTCCCATTGCCCATGGGGATCACAATCAATCGTCTTGGCAAGTGCAGCTGCTCTACCTATAAGCCATCCTCACCCCACCATAACCACCTGCCAGTCATTTGAAAAGTTCCTTGGCTACTAAGAGTCATTGTAGGTGTTGCAGTTTGAATCATCTTCTCTTAAATTTTGCAAATGGATGGTTACACACCCAAACTTCAAGCCAAAATGTCTAGGCTTGATTTTCTGTTGTTACTGTTGTTCTTGTTTTGTTTATTATTGTCTTTATTCACTCCTTACAAGCCGTAGTACTTAAATTTCTCTAATCTTCTGTTCCCTCCAAAAATAACTAATAATACAACTTTCTTTTTAATCATGGTGTGCAGACTCATTTACAGTTGAAGAAAAGTTCTGTCGTTAATAAGGGTTCAATACATGTTGCCCTATTTAGGGCATTGATTATTTTGCATCAGTCTATATTTTTCCATTTCCTCCTCTGAACTCTAGTTATTTGAGAGCAAGGAAAGTATATTCCCAATGCTTGATGCTTGGAATATGCAAAATGAATTTTTAAATAAACAAATGGTTGAATGATCGAATTGGCAACTATAATTTAGGCTCCATTTAATCTGGTATACACAGCATGTAGGAGATATCCACAGGTGTTGAGACCTATGGACAGGCTCAGTACAGTAGGCATGTCTTCAGAGGAAATTCAATTCTTCTCTTTTTCTAATGGTGCTACAGAACCACACACATGACTATAAAACTCCCTCCTCTCTAAAGCCATACAGAGAGTATCTTCACTTCAGCAAGGGAACAGTCTAAACCAGATGGCAGAACTTTAAGGAAAGCTGGTATTAAAATAAAAGCTGGTGTTAAAATATTATATGGCCTCCAAATATACAGTCTCTGTCTACTACTACCACTTTTATAACATGCCATCTACATGTCTGACCTTGCCAAGTAAAACCTTAGTTAATCTTTACAATGCCATTCCTCTTTATGGACTCCACGATAGGGCAGTACCATATGGTGACAATGCTCTGGAAAGGGACTCTGCTCCTACCTGATGAGCAGGTTTGTGCTACATTAAGCAAGTAATTTACCT